CCCTCCCCCTTCTCCTCATGATGTTTTTTTTTTTGCCCTTTGAACGTCTCTGCGGATGTTTTGTGTGTGTGTGTGTCTTCTTTATTGCACTTTCAACAAGAAGGCACTGTTTTGTTATCGAAACAGTGGTTTCCTTTTTTTGTATTCTTTACCAGAAATCTAATAACGCAGCCTAACTAACCTTTCGCATCGGTGTCCATAATAGCCTAACCGAGACGGATGTAATCACAAAAGTATAATTGGCTAATCTGCTGGTTTCAATGGAAGCCCGCCTGTGTGAGTGGGTTTTCTGCCTTTGATTGCAGCCATTGGTACCGCGTAGCTACTCCACGCGGATGGTGTGCATGCTGATATAGGCTTTCTGGGGGAAAAAAGAAAGTGAGCTTTGCGTGTTTCTTTAACGTTGCACGGAATGCCACGCCATATTGTTTCATACTGTACCGAAGCGCTGTCATGAGATATCGCGGTGAGATGAAAAGTAGCGGGAAAGTATTGGTTTGCTTATAGGACGCTGCTTTCCTAGGTTGAGGTAGCCAACCGTATAGCTGGATATGATGATTATGACGATAATTTATTTCTTATGGTGCATACCCACAAGTGGGATATCGAAGTATTCAGTGGCCGGAACACTCTTTTTGACAAGTATAAGTAAGAAAAAAATAAACCAGCATAATCTAATAAATAAATGAACGCACTAATTGAGTGAGCACGCAGATGCGCAAAGAACCCATTCCACCGAAATTAATATGAAACAAAGAAATGAAATAAGAAAAACTAACAGGGTAATCTGTATTTAAGTAGTCGAATAATACAGTGGTACAGGCATCCTTTTTCCTATAAGGTATCATATAGTGGCGCTCAAGTGACTGAAGTGTTCGGAATATTACAGCTAAGGTGTTAAAGACAAGGTTGCAGGTCTGCTACGCGTCGTATATATATATATATATATATATATATATATATATATATATATATATATATATATATATATATATATATATATATATATATATTGTCACGAGCAAAACAAGACCTGCAGCCAGGAGTTCACTTGAACCAGAGCAACGAAGATGTTCTCTTCTTCTTCGCAGCCCAAAAACGAGTATGAGCCACAGTGGCTCGTTCATCAATGGTGGCATTACCCCCTCTCCCAAGAAGCATCGTCTCGATGCTGTACATGATGGCAAAAAAAAAAGAAAACAAAATGAGATGAAAATTAGCATGCGAGCAAAATGAATGGCATAAGGCGGCATAACGTAGTTGGTTGTAGGAACAAAAGATAAATGAGAAATAAGAGAAATAGGAAAAATGTAAGGAAAAGACGAAACAAAAAAAAGACGCGAAGTTACCAATAAAGTCAGTCACTCACTGGCGACTCACAGCGCGAAAAGTATGGTTTGAGACGTGAAACGTGAATGACTTCAGTTTGCGGGGTGAAACGGGAACGTCTCGAATCGCCTTGTGAAAGAACCTCGTAAGTGACGTCGCTGAGACGTCGTACGACCTTGTAAGGGCCGAAGTAGCGGCGAAGAAGCTTTTCTGAACGTCCACGCTGTCGGATAGGGGTCCACACCCAGACTTCGTCACCTGGCTTAAAAATAACTTCACGGTGGCGAAGATTGTAGCGGCGCGCGTCTGCGGTTTGGTGACGTTGAATACGGTGACGAGCAGGTTGACGGGCCTCTTCTGCGCACTGCGCGAATTTGGCGGCATCCGTGTGGTATATTCCTAAGTTGTCGGGCAGGAGCATGGCGTCGAGCATCGTCGTGACGGCGCGACCGTGGACTAAGCGAAAAGGTGTGAAACCGCTACTTTCTTGAACAGCTGTGTTATACGCAATAGTTACGTAGGGAAGTATGGCATCCCAGTTCTTGTGATCGATGTCCACATACATTGACAGCATGTCTGCAATCGTCTTATTGAGTCGTTCAGTCAGCCCATTTGCTTGCGAGTGGTAAGCCGTTGTTTTACGATGTTCCGTGCCACTTAATCGCAAGACTTCCTGCAGCATCTCTGCGGTGAAAGCTGTCCCACGATCAGTTATGACGACAGCTGGAGCACCGTGACGTTTAGACGATGCTGTTAACGAAAAATTGGGCGACATCTGCTGCGGTGGCTTTTGGAAGTGCCTTGGTTTCAAAGTAGCGTGTTAAGTAGTCTGTAGCGAGCACAATCCACCAGTTTCCAGACGAAGACGTGGGGAATAACCCCAGCAAGTCCATGCCAATCTGATGAAAGGGCTCCTTTGGTGGGCCTATTGGTCGCAGTAGTCCCGCTGGTCGTAAAGGTGGAATCTTACGTCGCTGACAGTCGCGACATGTGCGAACGTAGTGCTTCACAGTCTTTGCGAGACGTGGCCAGTAGTAGGAGCGTTGAATCCGTTGCAGCGTGCGCGTATAGCCGAGGTGTCCGGACGATGGCTCATCATGACACGCACGTAAAATGTCACCACGAAGCGTAGTTGGCGCAACAAGCAGATACATAGCTTGTGTAGGATGAA